CTTGGTTCAAGAAGAAACCCAAAGGTATCCATTTTTTCCAGCCTTTGAAATCTGCCCTTCATCTCCATATGAAATCTGTCCAGCACTTCTGTCGCAACACGTTTGAATTGCAGTGCTATTGACAGTCCTACATTAGAACTCAACTTCCCATCAAGTCTTTTCTTTCTTCTGGTTGTTTTGATTACAGGGAATCCATAGTATTCATTACCTTCTTTTGCTTTTTCGATGGATTGGCTTTTTATCAGTTTCTCATCATTTTGCAGAAAGCATGAAACGGTACTAATTTCTTTAGCAGCTTCCCGTATATGCAGTCCAGACTTTTGTAGTTTCTTCTGAACTATATTAATTGGGCGCAAGAGCTTTGATCAGAATTCAAGATAGGCAAAAAATTATTAATTTTCACTGCATGAAGAAGATTCTGTGTTAATATTATATGGTATTACGCCATTGTTGGTTGTTTATGTTTTGTGCGCAAGCAAAAGGATTCAGAGCATACAAAAGTGGGAAAGATCCATATCTCGTTATGCTCGAGTATAGAAATACTCCGATAAGTGGACTGCCGTATTCACCATCACAGCTGCTGACGAGTAGAAGACTCAGTGAACCAAACTATTGAAACCATCGGTAGCTGAAAATGCAGAGACATTACTCAACGAACGACAGATGAAAAGCAAAGTGAAATGCAATGCAAAAGCAAGACTACCTAAAGATTATTCTGTCGGAGAGTTCGTCTAGGTCAAACATGGCAGAAAGCAGTTGTCATAAAAAAACATTCAGCACCCAGATTTTACATCATAAAGACAAATGGAAAAACATACAGAAGAAATCAACGCTTTTTGAATAAGAGTTTCGATGAAGACATCTCTGGGTACTATGATACCGATGGAGACAATGAACTGCAAACTGTTGGAACAAACGAAACAGACAGTTATAGACCAACGTCTAGAGAACTTGTTGTGCCAGTCAAGACAACCAGAAGTGGACGAATTGTTAAAGTTCCTAGTAGACAGGGCCGGCCTTAGGCCACTGCAGCCTATGCGGTCGCAGTGGGCCCCGCGCTTTCATAGGACCCGCGCTAATTCTAAGTGTACTTTATTAAATTAAACCATTATAACGTATATAAAATAACAGGGTTTTCGCGACCTCTTGATTTTCCAGGGCCTCCAGGAAATCTCATGAAAAGGCAAAATATACGATAAAGTCCTGAACTTTTTTTGAATTTATTCAAATCTCCAGAAGAATAGACGAAATTGACATTTTGGGGTGCCTATAAATAAAAAGTGGCATTGCGAGCTTTAATTTGATAAAAATGTATTGCAAAGACGAAAGTAGGCCTATTTTCTAATTTAAAAAAATAATATTGACATTATGCTCATCCTTACCCAGACTAGGCCCCGCGCGATCCGTTTCGCATAGGGCCCCGCAAATGCTCGGGCCGGCCCTGCTAGTAGATACCACTCTTAAGAACTTTAAAAGGAAGGGTGTGATAATAACTTCAAAAGGAAGGATGTGCTAATATTATATGATATTACGTCATTGTTAGTTGTTTATGTTTTGTGCGAAAGCAAAAGGATTAGATGGAAATAAAAATAGTTTCCATTGGATTGAGGAAAGATGAATAGAGGGGTAATAACTCGAGTGTGAAGTTTAATTCTGAAATTATAGACGCCAAACGTGAATAATGGACTATTCTAGCATTATTAAGAATAACTTTTTGGATCTGTTATACTCAATTCTGTAAATTTTGCTTCAAGGTTAATTAGTGTAGCCATAAAATACTCGCCATTTAGATCTATTATTAGTAAAGGTAACAAGATACCTGGAATTCGCTGTATATCATGCAGTTTTATTCCTGGCAACAAAGTTTAAAATGTAAAAGTAACTTATGAAAAACAACTTTGATCTCTGTGGGAAAAAATACTTTTAAAATGTCAACAAAGTCAACGTACTGACAGACCTAGATCTAGGTTTAGTCTTTGTGATAAATTTAATCCATAAATGTTGAAAAAAAAAGACACCAGTTGACACTATTTGTCAATCAAATATATTAATTTATGTATTTACAAATAAATTTCGGAAACCCTTTTTGCTGGAGGCCAGGGGGGATTTCAAAATTTCCCCCTCTCCCCCTAGTTACGCCACTGGGTAATAGTCGTTATACTGTTAAATATGCCTAGAACTATATTTTGAAACCGGTTCGTTACATCATACATATTTTCCTAGATATACTTGTGGTACAGATTTTATTGTTATCTTTAGATGTTATATTGTTTATGTATCTATGCCAAAGCCGCCTAAAGCTTAGCCTGGCTTAGGAGTCTACTGCCGAGTTTAGAGTTAAGTTTTCAAGTAGGGCCTACCTATCTATGGACTTCTTATTGCCTTAGTTTATTTAAAGTTTTATTTCTGTTTGTGTACATTTTTAAATTTAATATTAAACCGTAATATATTTTTTGTATTTGATAAATATTTAGTTGTTATTAGGCCTAATGATTCATAATACTAATAAGCTATTACAATAATTAATATTGACTTTTTGGCGAGGTTAGTTACTTTTATAAATATAGTAAACGTAAGACTAATAGATAGTCTACCCGAGTCTACCGTGTTCATCCAACTGTAACCTGTGGTTCGATCTAATTATTTTAACATTGTAGAACTAGTTCTCTATAATAAAATTAGTAATAAGGAAGATAGTTCTTACATAATTTAAACTTAATTTAATTTAATTGAAAAAAAAAGATGTCTTAATAAATATGTTTGTTTATATTTTTGCCTTGAATTAAAATCTTTAGAAAAGAAGGGTACTTTTATCTTTTTAAATTATATTAACTTCTATAATGTAAAATCTTACTTTTACCTTAAACCGGTACTTTAATTATGACAGTACTGTATCTCATGATGTCGATAAGTGTCACTTTCAGTGTAGGGTCTAATAAATAATCTCAAAACAAAGATGATTAAAAGACAACATCAAAGAATGGACAGTCCTGCCTATACAAGAGACCAATCATATCAAAAGACAGATGAATGATGACAGTCCAAATAAGATCGCGTGAGTAGCCCCTACCTAATGTCCAAGGGACTAAATATGAACCATATCAATAAAGTTGTTATGCAAATTGTTTTTTAAGAAAAAGAATATGTCTATCGGGTAGCTAATGGGAGGTAAGGAAAACTGAATCAATGAGACATATATAAAAGGAATTTCTTTTTTCAAATGCGAGTTATAAATTCATTTTAAAAATGGAAATTGAATGCGAGCACAATTCTGAAAAAGGAAAAAAAACAGGAAAAAAACAAAAAAAAAAATACTTAAAAAAAAATACAAAGCTTATATTAGCCTAGGTTTAATTGTATTAATTAGTTTGGATCAGTCATGTATGATTGACCTAGATATAATAAATCTAAATCTGTGCGATTAGAAATAGTTGTTACAACTTGTTTTCGTTTAGCTTTTAGCTTTCTCAGTGCGCTATGTCCCAATCACTTGTCTCAATGCGCTATGACCCAATCACTTGTCTCATTGCGCTATGACCCAATCACTTGTCTCAATGCGCTATGATCCTATCACTTGTCTCAATGCGCTATGACCCAATCACTTGTCTCAATGCGCTATGACCCAATCACTTGTCTCAATGCGCTATGATCCTATCACTTGTCTCAATGCGCTATGATCCTATCACTTGTCTCAATGCGCTATGATCCTATCACTTGTCTGGACAAGTTGGGAAAGGGGAAGGGAAGGAAGGGGTATCTTGCGAATGTTAACGTGATCCCCAACTTATAGGCTACCATCACACCTATCAAGTACGATTTCTTTCCCTTGTTCAAGATATCAAACAAAATAAGTAATTACCAATAGGTAATTAACTATTTGGTTAACTTTTTTTTTATTGATTATTGTGTTGTCAGGTATAATAAATAATTGTGAAAAATTTCTGCTTAATCCGAGATTTGGTGTGGTAGAAATAACGTGTTCAAACTTTTGACCAGACAAGACAGAGTTGATATAAGCTTTATAAAACAATGTCTTACCTTAAGATAAAAATGTATTGGTAAGGATCTTTCTCTGTTACAGTCCTGGCTATCACACCAGCCACACCATTGTTTCCCCTTGTTCACTAAACACCTTCTCACTATTATTTCACTACGCTTTTTATTCACGGCGTAGGAGGGATACCTTTAAATTAAGGATGTCATTAATTATTCTCTCCCTTTGGTTTCCAGAACAGTTTGTTTCTATGGAGCACGATTGGGCAGCCTATAATAGTCTCAGCGTGGGGAAACTAAACAGAATTTTGGTTGGTGTGCTAAGGGAGGTAAAAGAACCCAATAGCCTATCCAATCACAGTGCTAGTTGGAAAAAAAAAGACTTTTTTTCAACTATCAAACACTTGTCTTGAAAAAAAAATTTGCTTGTTAGAATTTTTAAAAAATTACAAGTAGGCCTACAAATCTCGATTTTAATATCCTTACTGCAATTGTAGTCTCCCCTTAACGGTGTCCTCGGAAGAACTATATCTTATAAAAACATTTTAGCATATCTGGGGGTGTCCCGCCCCTTAGCTAATTTATTAAATATAAATGTTTCTAAGCATTAGTTAAAAAATGATAAAATGCTTACTATTACAGCTTTTAAGCAGAATTTAAAAAGGCCTATGCCGATAATTCAAATTTGAAAAGCCATCAAAGTTTCCCTTAGAGTTATAGGCTACAATTATTTAATTGTGAGTGGTGGTGAGAATTAAAAGATAGTGTCTATATGGGAAGTACCTAAAGTAGGCCTACTTCTAGACTCAATATGGGAGACTTTCTTGAGCTTATTTATTATTGAGTTTATTTATTATTTATATATTTATTTGTAAGATGTATTTTAACATTGAGATAATTTACAATGAGATGATTCACACACGGAGAGAAACCTAAATAAAGAAATTTGAATAGGAATAGACAGACCATTTTAACAACAACCCCATAAAGAAAAACAAACGCATTATATTGAAGTTTATTTATATTTTTATTGACAATAAAGAATAAAATAAAACGATAATTATGAAAAATAAGGAAAATTAATAAAAACCTTTTTTTAAAAAAAAGAATGTTGACTTTTATTGAACTATTTTTGCTAATCAGTTTGATAAATCAACATCATTAATTTAGTTATACCACATTCACCATCACGTACTTAACATTCTGTGAAAGTCATCCACTTAAACTCAACCCAAACCATAATAAGGCCTACATATTATTTGATCTTAATCTTATAATTCATATTATTTGATCTTAATATTATGATGCATATTATTTGATCTAAAGGAATTTTATTTTACTATCTCAAAAGAGCTCACTGGACATACTTTGATTTCCTTGTTGGCTTCTCATCGCCCAGGTTTATGATAGATAAAGTTTTAATAAGTTTCATTTGTTACAGGACCTCGGTCCGCCGGTCATCCTTGGGAAGCTTGCAGCAGTGCTACACTCTGGCAGAAGCTGCGAAGCCGCTGATCCCAAACTATCTGCACTTGCCATTCCTTTGGATACATCAGCTGCTTGGAGAGGTACGGGGTCGAACTGCTGTGTAGACGATTCGTTCCGACCATCGCCAACTCCGAAGCTTTCATCCCATTTCTATGAGATGATCCGTAGTCGCTTCGAGACCGAAGGAAGCCATAGATAGATTTAATGGGTCCGATGGATATTTCCAGGGGGTTGATAAATGAAAGCCTTTCATGGATGGAATCTCTTCGTGTCGGATATATTAGTGAACTATAAAGTAGGCAATATAAACAATACAACGACTAGATGGCGTGTTTCTATTATATGTGCAGTAGCAACAATACTTTGTGAAGAAAAAAATGAGTACAAAATGATCGATAAAATCATTCATTGTAATTCTCAGTAGGGCCTAGGATTTAAAGACTTCAAAAACTGAGGTCAAGGACAATCTCAATGAGAAATAGACAGAAAAATAATGGGACCGAGGCTTTTATTTTCAACTTTAAACTAATGCTATTTTCATAGTTTACCCCCCTCCCTTATCATTGTAATTCTCAGTAGGGCCTAGGATTTAAAGACTTCAAAAACTGAGGTCAAGGACAATCTCAATGAGAAATAGACAGAAAAATAATGGGACCGAGGCTTTTATTTTCAACTTTAAACTAATGCTATTTTCATAGTTTACCCCCCTCCTTTATCATTGTATACCGCCCATTTAATACTTTACTAAGTAAGAAATATATACAAGTATTGCAACAAGAATTGTCAGATGAAATTATAATTTCTAACTCGACTTCCGGTTTTCTTTTTTCGCTTTTTTTTTTCACTCTTTATATATATATATATAATTCTTGTTTAGATTGAAACAAATGGCATGGTTACATTGTTAACAACTCAATTTTTTTTCAACTGTTAGTACTTTCAACCTCTGTGACAAATCTTTATTGACATTGCAGTTCAACCTCTGTGACAAATCTTTATTGACATTGCAGTTGAGTTGATTTTTGTATATATATACACAGAGAAATCAAAAGGCTATTTATTATCTTTGCTCATCACCAGGAGAGAAAATTTCAACAACATTTTACAAAATGAACCAAACATACAACTAATTAATATTTTTGTTCAAATATCAAATATCTTCTAAAACAATATAAATGCCCCGATCGTTCGTGTCCAGAAGATTATTGCTTCAATTGAGCTTTCAGAAACTCTTCATAACTTATTTTTCCGTCTTTGTTTGTGTCCATCTGGTCAATTTTGGTTCGCATTTCTGGCGTGATATCCAGGCCGATTTTTTCAAGCCCTTTCACTACCTCCGCCTTAGAAGCAGTGGCGTTTCCGTCCGTGTCAAAGCAAGTAAAAAGTTTTCTCCACATGCTTGTTCTGAGGAAAAGAGCAAATGTGTTTTTCAAACTAGGTCTAGGTTTATGTGTTTATGTTTGTTACCTCTATGTTTGGCGAGATGTTTCGTTTTTAATAAAGCCTATTGGTGTTGTGTGAAGCTTGATTTTTTTTTATTTCTACTCTGAGCTATATGAGAGGATATTTTGTTTCTCTTTGAAAAAACAAACTCTTGGAAAAACCTTTAAGAAATGTATTTTAAAAAGCCACTTTCACTTTTAAAATTGCTATTTTTATAGAGCATCTTTCATGCCAAAGCAAGCTAAGAGGAGTTCGCTATGGTCCAATTTCTGGTGTGGACATTTTGGGGGAAGGGGTATCTGGGAGCAGGTTTCGGTGCTGACTATAGAGGTTCAACAATCGCAGCTCGAGTTGGGATTTGAGCTATAACCCTTTAATAGGTGGTCAGTCAGTTTACCCCTTCTATCACGCATCCGATTTAGATTATTTTTAAAACTAAGGTGTCGAGCAATGATGCGGTCGGCTAAGTCTATATGCTATTAGGTTAATTGTGTATTCATCTACAGTATTCTATGTTATTTGTTTTACTTCTGTGATAATAGAGAGTAAATAAACAAAAGCTGTTAATATCACACGGTCCTCAAAGCTCGCAAAACCCTCCTTCAAGGGACAGTCCCAGGAAAAAGAAAGGGCAGACAGAGAAAGCGATGGGAAGACAACATACAAGAATGGACGGGCCTGCCATTGAAGGAGATTCTGTCAAAGGCAAAAAACAGAGAGGAATGGAGAAAAACAGTCAACAGATCTTATGTGGTGCCCCAACGGTCCAACAGACTAAGGGATAGGTGAAGGTGAACAAAAGCTGTTTCTCTTGTGTTAGAATTTCTATCACAAAGTGAGCAATGCTGTTTGTTTGAATGTATCTGTCTTTCTACAGACTTTGAGTAGCAACAAATGTCAAGGTCTTACTGTGAGTCAATCTTGTCATCCAGCATAACGTCAATGTATTCCTCTAAAGACATTCTTCCACCGTCCTCCATTCCTTTGTCGGACCAAATTTGCTGAAAGAATACAGAGATAGTCATTACATTGCAAAATAAGTGTCCAATATATTTTCATACAAAAGGAAAGTTATGGAATGAAGATGGCCTATCGGTGATAGGTCATACGAAATTCTCATTCAGTGGAACCCTGGCCTGCGTCGTGACGACGAGTGAACCAAACTGCGTTACCTGCATCCTATACTGCCTTTAGAGAGCATCAACAATAAAGTGTAGGCATATTACTGTTTCTTGGAAAGTAACCTTTCTAACAGGACATTTACAAAAATGGCAACCGTAGCAATGGCAACGGCTAATTTATCATAGTGGCCACGAATGGTACAAGATCTCTCTTTGCTGATCGAAGTAAGACGCAAAACTGGCCCAGAACCAAGAAAAGGAGATCTGAGTTATTCTTCTTGAGTCTTCATTCTGTGTTAGCCCCTTCTAGACATAGGCCTTTGGCTGAATAAATAGCTAGTTTGTTAACTTTATGAAAAAAAAAATTATTTTCCTTATTTAAAAAGAAACTGTAACAACCAAGATCGTTGGTTAATGGGAAACACATATTCAATGAAGCATCCCTTGACTGTGAAATAAGTCAAGTGAGTAGTGATATTATTTCTTTTATTTATCACTTAGGTTTTCGAATCCTTTTTTTATTCTCCATTTTCTTCAAATGTTACCTTAACACTGGATCTACTACATTGTTATCTTACAAAAGGGAAAATTTAAAACGGCGGCTCGTGTGTGTTTAGATTAGGAAAACCAAGAAGTATTATCTCTGTATTTCTCATAGGGATAACCCAGTAATTAAAACGTCTGTCAGACACTTCAGCGTTCTTTATTTAATTCCAAAGGGAAAAACCGGTTAATATCTACAAAACGTACCTCTATTTCTTCTATGCCATAGGGAAATCCCAGTAACATCATCAACCTGGTAAACTCTTCTTTCCTCATGGTGTTATCCTTCGTGACGTCACCCAATGATTTGAACTCTGTACACATATAACAACAATTATTCTAATAAAGGATCATAATGACTCGAAAGAGGAGCATACATTTATTACTATTCTGTTAGGTATATGCTTGTTTTGTTGTTGATGTTGTTGTTTTTACTCATTTGTAACAGCAATGTACACCAAATATATAAAACATCACTCCACATCAAATACGTTTGAGGTATGATAATCAGAGCTAGTCGGTGTCAGAACTAATCAGTGTCTTAAAACTAGTCAGTATCAGAAACTCCATCCGGCGAATGTAGGACAATCGCATCTCGAAAGTCAATGTTTACGGACAAAGCACGTCTTGCTCAAGTAAAACTGGTCGCCCCACCTCCGTTACGTGGATGTAATAAAAAGGGACTTCAAAACAGTGAACATTGATACTGACCATTGGGAAAACATAGCCCTAGACCGCACTAGCTGGAAAGAGACGGTGACCAAGAAAGATAAGGACAGTGAAAAAACAGCATCAGCTCTTGAAGAAAAGCGTGCCATACGAAAAATGGCCTGCTCCTAAACCACCAAAACGAAAGCCACCTTAACTTGCGGTATATGTGGACGGGAGTGTCTCTCCAAAATAGCCTAAATAGGGCTCCACAGTCACATGAAAAAAGTGTTCGAGATGAACCATTGTTGTTCTACAACTGAAATCGGCCAATAACAATCAGAGCCTGTAGCAAATAGAAGATTTAAGGCGTAGGAAGAAACAAATTTAAGAATTTTTCAGTCATATTCATTGTGCGACCTTTACCTTTAGACTTCTGACCAAGCAAGAGTATTCACTATCCTTATATTTGTTTAAGAGATTTGTGTGAGCATCATAAACAAGGTTCTTGGAGAACAGGCGATGCAGTTCTACTTTTTATCAGAAGACAGGGTGATGGTCCATTAGTATTTAGTTTTAGTCCAAGTATATATTGATATATTGTGGCTACAAAATATACTGTACAATTGTATATAAAGAAAATTTCTTATTTACTGTTGTATTTTTTTTATTTAATACTCTTTCCATTGAAAGAAGAGTTCTCTCTGTATGTGTGTGTGTGTCCAAAATAATTACATTTAACCCCACTAAATAAACATTCCAAATTGATTTCAACCTCATAATATAAATACATGTGTCACTCTAATAAACGTTTACCTGCGGCATAAAACAATCTTCTGGTGTCTTGGGTAAGTTCCGGTATTTGGACTCCACCATCATTCTTGTCGCATTCATTATTGCCCTTGTGCTTCTTGTCCTTTTTATTCTTTCCTTTTTTAGGACTGGAATCTTTCTTCTTGCTGGAATCTTTCTTCCGTCGAAAGAAACGTAGAATGCTACTCATTTGTGCTTTGTTTTTTGTTGTTTTGTTTTGATCTTGTCAGCGACAATTATGAATTTTAAAAAAACACCAGTTTTTGCTGCACGTATAGATTCTGGGTACAGTCTACCTCAAATAAGAAATGTTATGTTAATCTGGAAAAAAGAGAGATTTTTTGTTTTTAAATTTGATCAATATAAAAATCTATTACGAGTTATCTCATCTCTGCCACCAACTATCTTCGTTCAGACGTCTCGGTTCTGGGCGAGTCTCTCCAGCTGTCTACACGTCTTGCCCACCCTGCTCTAATGGATACATTTGTTAGGTCCGTGTCCACCCTGCTCTAATGGATACATTTGTTATGGCCATGTCCACCCTGCTCTACTGGATACATTTGTTAGGTCCATGTCCACCCTGCTCTAATGGATACATTTGTTAGGGCCATGTCCACCCTGCTCTACTGGATACATTTGTTAGGGCCATGTCCACCCTGCTCTAATGGATACATTTGTTAGGTCCGTGTCCACCCTGCTCTAATGGATACATTTGTTAGGGTCATGTCCATACTGCTCTCATGGATACACTTGTTAGGGTCATGTCCACCCTGCTCTAATGGATACATTTGTTAGGTCCATGTCCACCCTGCTCTAATGGATACATTTTTAGGGCCATGTCCACCCTGCTCTAATGGATACATTTGTTAGGTCCGTGTCCACCCTGCTCTAATGGATACATTTGTTATGGCCATGTCCACCCTGCTCTACTGGATACATTTGTTAGGTCCATGTCCACCCTGCTCTAATGGATACATTTGTTACGGCCATGTCCACCCTGCTCTCATGGATACACTTGTTAGGGCCATGTCCACCCTGCTCTAATGGATACATGTAAAAAACAATTAGTTAATTAAGAATTGGTAATTAATTATTTTGTTTCATATCGAAATAAGGTGAATAAATGCTACCTAATAATAGATGTTAATGTATATA